TACAGCACAAAAAATTGACTTTGACAAAAGAAGGAAGTTTTATCCTCTGTGGATACCTACCAAGCTTTATTGCTCTTCTGGCATTTTTCATGTTATCTGTACTGGGCACACAATCTGTTAAGTCAGTTGTGCACTGGATGATGAACCCATTTCAGCATAAAAACTATCCAGATTGTGGATGATATCTGCAGGATTTTCAGGTACATACTAAAAATCCGTTGAACATAGTAGCATAATAAGTTGAGGATGGTTTTAAGCATTTACTAACTTCTGAGTGATGTTTTATTATTGTGGTGGCAGGATATTGAGGTCCTCCGTAGCGTGGTGACAGTGGTAGCAATGAATCAGTGACATGAGGCCTGTGTATACTGGCAGACTAAGAGATTTTGGCCTGCTGGCCTCATGCCTTCGATACAACTGTGACTAGGGCAGGGAAACCACAAAGTGCAGATTCAGTACATGTGGCAGAAGTATCAGGCTAGCTTGGCATGATTCTCCAGCATGTAGCTGCATCTTGACACTGTCAGAAGTGTCATACCAGAGTGGGTGTTTACTCTGGTATCACTCTTGGCAAGTGGGTGAGGGCATAGGAGAGCATCTCAAGAAAGACAGCCGGTAAAAAACTACAGTATTTGTTGAGTACTAAGAACATAGCAGCATTATGATTACCTCTTCCCTAAAGGAGATTTTTTTTTCTTTGTTTACTTTTCAAATTTGCTGCAATCCAGCAGCATTCTAATAGGTGATCACCCTGTGTGAAGAGAGGGCTAAACCAATAAAGCATGTCAACTCCGCTGTGCTTCATATTGTGGAACTTTGCTGTATTTGAATCAAGCAAAAATCAGTCTGAAAGGGGCAGAAAGATAAGCCCAAGAAGAAGAGAGGAGAACGGGACTCTGTAGGTGGTATGTCAACAGACACTTCACAAAATCTCTCCTAGATTCTGATGGGATGTCAACAGAGATGACTGAAAATGTTTGCACTACAAGAATGCAAATGAGAAAATCTTGCAGATGCAAAAACTACTTGGCCGGAGCCTCTTTCGATCCACAACAAACGGCTGACAGGGCACAGCGACCACTGCAGACCTGCAGCTAATGTGTGGTGATGCCTCCTGCACTGTGAATGGAAAACCATGAATATAAAGTGTTGCTTTGGACCCTCCATTGTGCTGAGCTGACAGCTGCTGAGCTGAGAGATTGTTGTTCAGCAGAACCTGAAGGTGCTGTCTCACCGGATGACTTCCTCTCTGTTAAACTTTCTTCCAGCCATTTCTGCTCACCATCACACTTCCTTTAATCTCATTCTCCACACCATCAATTTGCTGATAGCAACGAGCTTGGGAAACGTGGATTTGGCTGCTATAATCAGTCCGCGAAAGAAAAAAAAAACTCCCTTTGGCCTAAAGGCTATTTCTATGCTGATGAGCCACTGGTTAATTTACATTCAGCTTATGGAACTGATCTCTGTGCGCTTCAGAAAAATAATCTGTTGCCATGAGGACTATTCCCTGTTTTTTACTCCAGGCTTGTGCACATCATGTTCTAAATATCTTGACGTTAACAGGAAAAAATAATCCTAAAGACCTCAGATTTTTGTGCGCATGGTCCACACAGCTTACTATTGTGTAGCGCTTGAGTTTTGCAGGATTTTTTTCAAGCACCGAGTCTCCGTCTCACTACACACTAACCCTCAGGCCACCTAGTGGAGTCATTTAGGACCCTAGCTGTATGATTCTGTGTTCTGTTTTTATGCCTTTTTTCAAAACAATCTTTCTGAATATGAAATTGTGATTATATTTGTTCCTTCTCTGTTCTTACCATTTTGTAGGGATCTGCCATTTGCTGTGGTAAGAATTAAGAAAACTTGTACTGGTTCATTTATGACCCCAGAAAAGTGTAGATTTTTAATATATTATAGGATTAGGTTTTTATTGTAACATTTAACTTCTAAATACTATCATTTTTGTACATAATTTTTTATACCAGTTTTCATGTGCAGGTTTGCTGGGAGCTGTTTATTTCTTGGGGGCACACTGACAACAGGTCGTCCATCACAGAACCAACACGGGGATAAATGAGATGGACAACCATTTGCACTACAGATTTAGATTTTGGTCTGTAGGACGAAACTAATGTATGAAAAGTAAACAAGCACATGAATAGGGCGAACATCCAAACTGTTCCCAGAAAACATGCAACATATTGATAAAAAAAATTATTTATCTGGTTTTGAGCAAATCAAATGCTGGCCCACTTAGAGTACCTACGTACGTAGAGTACCTAGAGTTTACAAATATAGAAACACTGAGTCAGGTACTTTATGCCCAAAGTGATGATGAAAATAGTTAAACTGATGGAAATTACTCAGCAAATTTAGAGGGACAGTTTATTTTAATACAGAATCTGATCATGACGTTCATCCCACACCTGAGGCACATCAAGCAGTGGCTCAAGGTTTGCTTATAGGGCAACAGGAAGCCTTTGAGGACAACATAGATTGGAGCTACAAAGTAGTATAAATTAACAAACATGCAGAATAAAGTGTGACTAAAATCTGTTCCAAGCAGCCCAACCAGATGGTCAGCTCAGGGAAATGGTGTGCTTTGTAGAGTAGGCCATTCGCAGGCAAAAATGGAACTATAGGTCCTCAATCATTCAGGTGAGCAGGACATCATCTGCAATCTGGGCATAACAGGATAGAATATAATGACCTGTTATACGATCTTTTAGAATGCTTGTTTTAAATGCATAGAGTGGTATGTGTATGATAAACACAAACAAACTCATAGAAAATAATTGGTGAATAAAATACAGTAACTTTTGTAACTAAAATCAATTTAAGGTTAAAGCCTAATCCTAAAAATAGACTGTCAGACTCTCAAACCCAAAGTGGGTACTGGTACTATAAGTTTGGAGCCTGATAACTAATGGCTTTATCTCTTTTACTTTTAGAGTCTCTAGAAACCGCAAGTAGTCCTTCAGCTTCAGATAAATAAAGTTGGAGACACACAATACAAGAATATTGATGTCTGTGTTGTGTTTTGTGATTCTTGTGTCCTGCGAGCCGAAAAGGAAGAAGCTGGTAAAGATGATGTATGGATGTATGTATGGACGGATGGATGGATGATTTTTGTCATCTGTCCTGGCCTCCTCGTGTTTCTCCCTCTTGTAATCAGCTCCTGCCTCTGTCCCCTGTAGTCCGTCCCCAGGTGTTTGTGTCTTCATACTGTATATTCTGTCTTTCCTTGTTGTTCCCCTGTCCTTGGATTGTCCAATAAGACGTTATGTCTGTTTTCCTCCATGTTTCCTTATTACGCTCTGTGGGTGAGTTTTGGCTGCCATGTCAGTCCTTTTTGTTTATTTAAATAAATAGTATTTCATTTACTCCCGCGCCTCGCACAATGATTGCTGGACATGGGCACCGGCGACCCCCGTGACCCAAAATGGAATAAGCGGGTAAAGAAAATGGATGGATGGATGGGTTTACTCCCGCGTTCTCCGAGTCCTTCCTGCATTTGGCTTCAAACTAAGCGCAGCTCATGATAAATACTTTAGACCCTTTACAGAGCTTGAAAACTTTCAACAGAATTTTGTATCACGAATGAAAAATCACAATCTTTATAAATTGTCAAATCAACTATAGGCAATTGAATGCAGCAAAGTCTTGCACAAACTATTGTAAGAGCTACAGTTTAAAATATGTAAAAACATGAATAACTGGCTCACTGCTGCTGTTGTCTGTGTAACTTTCTGCTCTTCTGACACTATTTCCAATGTCCCGCCCTCTTTTTCATTGTCTGATGTCAACAAATGTTCAGAACTGTGTCACTTTTGATTGACATCAATGGAGGTTGTGTTGAGTCTGTTCCACTCTAACAGATTTTTGTGACAATAAAAGAAAAAAAGTTTTTAATTATTTTCTCATTTTTGTGGAGATCCAATGGAGAGAAGCTAAAACTGTGTCAGCATCTGTCTTGTTGTTCAGTTTGACAAAGAGGAACATGTTTAAATTAAGGCTAATGGTCGCCAGGCTAACTGTGATGTCTGCGTGTCTTCTTGCCACTCCTTCATCTTTATTAATTCTTCCCTTTTCATCCGGCGTCCTGCTTTCTCTGTCATCTTCGTCTATCTCCGCTGCTCATTACGACTCCTTATCGCAGCCTGAGCAGGGCGTGGAGATGGTTTTATAATGATTGATAAACACCAGGAGATCTGAGCGCAGTGCACTGAGGAGTGCACGTATTGTTGAGCACACAGTCCTGCACATAGAATGGAGCAGGATCAGTCTGGATTGGCTGATTGCATTTTTATTTTCTTCGTTGCATGAGTGTTTTCTTGCTGCAGCGATGTTATTCAGCCTGATTTTATATGCATATACACTAATTGCCAGCTGTGCTTTGTTTACTTTATGCGCGCATTGAAATCACAGCAAAACAAACCTTTATTTTTTTTTCTTTTCTGGTTCACACCCGACAGCGACAAAATATCTGAAATTTAAAACGTGTAAAAATCAGATCATGAAGCACTGATCTAATGTGTGACACAAGCAGTAATTTCTTCTGTTGGCCTCTGCAGTGGTTTTCAGTATTCTGTCTCTGTCAGCTTGTTGAGAGCTCCTCAGCTGCTCCGCAGATTCTCTCGGCTCAAAGAGTTTCAATGCTCACATTGCAAAATAAATTATGGCATACTGCGCTGGCCCTCTGTGGCCATGGGTGACACTGAGTCATCAGAATGTACATTGTTTGGTTGAACGTAAATTTTGGTTAAGAAACAATCCAAAAGGTGTTTTTCTCATATAGTAGGAAATGATGTGACTCCTACATGAGAGTCTGGCAGTGATGGCAGACAACAGCGTTACTTCTCCCCTGCTGCATTCACTGCTGTTATTAAAAGCTGTTGCTTTGAGTTCTCGCTCACCATTGTTTGCTCACTGCTGAACCCACTGGAAATATGATAAATGTGTCTCATCTTTTAACTCGTGTATCTTCATATCTTCAGGTACACAGAGGAGGAGATCCGACAGAAAGTGAGCACATTCAGACAAATGCTGATGGACAAAGAGGGCGTAATCACCAGAGAGGGATCTCACGCACAGTGAGTTCGATAAACATCTGTTTTATTCTGACAACCAGCCTGTTTCTGTGCATTTCTATCATAACACCAAGCGACAAATATTGGGCATATCATAGTGTCTGTTTGCATGGTTAAACATGGATTTGTTGGATACAGTCGGAGTTCATTGCAACAAGTTTAGCTGTGATTTTTGTTTTTTTTATCGCCTGTCACCTAAAGGAGAAAGGAGGACGTTAACATTTTTGTCTGCGTATGTATTTGTGTGTTTTTCTGTTACCAAAATATCCCATGAACACTGGACAGATTTTAATGAAACATTCAGAAAGTCATCATTAGATGTACCTCAACAACCTTCAGAGTCAACATGATTCAAGATGGCCACCACAGCTGATTGAAGATAGCCGAAACAAAAATGGCTGTAACTCAGTCAAGTTTACAGATTTTGAGCTACACTTTGGTGTGGTAGTAGCTGAGACTCATTCCAACACATACTCTGAGTGCTGACAAATCATGCAAGATCCCATGAGACTGTACATAACATTAGACCTAAAATCCATATTTTTTGCATTATTTCTTATTTACAGCAGCTTTATTCATCAAATCTAAAAGTCCACAATCCTTGATGACAAATCAGTTAGGCCCTCTTGACCCAGCTGAAATGAACAAATAAAGCAGAATGTGGATGGTCTTTGCAAAGACTTGCAGAGATGTTATGTGTGTTAAGAACACAGTGAGTGCAGTTACTTGTGATAAATTGCAATAGGTTGTATAGGGCTCTGAGCAGGCACAAAACTTTATAACGAGGTTGCGGTGGTTAATTACCAATAACTACTGCACCATGTTCGGCTGTCCTTTATTCGCCTTTTGAAAGCAAGAAATCCTTGGTCTCCTCATGGTCAGGCATGATGAAAAAAGGTAAAAGTTGTCAAGGCTCTGCAGAAAAAACTCCTTCACCTGCATACCCTCAAACTGCTGATCGGAGCTTTCACAGCAAGGCTGAAACTGATGGTGGAGGCACAGGAACCTCCCACGTAGACAGGAATGGTTTGCAGATTGTGATAAGGTCATGGAAACTGGTCTGAGAGAGACTTGTCGAGGGGGGGTCTGGAGCATGTTGGTAGGATCATCATATGTGCTGCTGCTGACGTATACAGTAAAGGGAGGGGGAGTACCATAGTAAAAATGTAGCAGTGTCATCTTTACGTTCAGGATATTGTCTAAATTTTACACATTCTATCCACGTTATAATAGATTACAGTAATCCCTCGCTACTTTGCGGTTCATTTTTTGTGGACTCGCTCTAATGCAGTTATTCAAAGTAGGATTGGACATGACACACGATTGGCTGATTGGTGGATGAACTGCACGATCGGCATGGGATTTTTAAATGAAATAAATTGAAAAATTGTCTAGAATACTGCTGGGAAGGATTTAAAATGCCTCACATATACATACAT